AGAGATATTTACCAGCTCATGTTGCTGACTATTTCCTTAAGTTACCCAGTAAAAGTGGTGGAAAGGCTGTAAGTATTACCCATTTACAGCTGTGTCAACTGGAATAATGTGTTCTGTTCAATGCCACTAGACTTTCTTACGCTCTCTGAGATTAGAACCCACAACCACCATTTGTTTGACATAACCAAGTGTCCAATGTTCTAACAGACTGAGTTACAGACCCCCTCACTATCTATTCTTATTGATGTTTTTATTTATTTCAGAATCTCTATTATAATTTCTACCCCAATGTGAGTGTGATGTTTGCCTCCATACCAAATTTTAAAGATTTCTACCAGCAGAATACAGCTAATAAAGAAGGCTTGGAATGTATTAGAGTTTTAAATGAGATTATATCAGACATTGATCTAGTAAGAGAAATTGTTATACATATGTAAATATTTTCAAATATTGAAAAACAATTTGATGATATTTCTACTCCTGAGTTTCATTGTACACAATGTTTTAACTGATGATGACCATATAAATTGTACTCTACAGATTTAATAATAACATGGATGATGATATTTGATTTGAAATGTATCTGTATTTGTTGTAGTTATTATGTGAAGGAGATTTTACAAGAGTAGAAAAGATTAAGTCTATAGGAAGTACATACATGGCAGCTACCGGACTACAACCTAATAAACAGTTCGGAGATGTAAGTGAGATATTTTGCCAGTTTTTGACAGATTTGGTATGTACTATTAGCTACATGAGAAAAAATAAAAGTCAAGTGAGAAAGTATCTTTTTTTACCAACCACATGCCAAAGTGGGCTTTTTTTGATTTGATCCACTTTTTCAATTTTGATTCCAATTATATGCATATTTTCATGAGACATCTTGATCTTGATTATTGAATTTGTAGCACCAGGGTTTCAAATTTGGCCACAAAGTTAGGGAAAAGGGCGTGGGAGACGTTGAGGGTGAAGGTGAACAAAATTTCGCTTTTGTCTTGTAAACTAAAAAATATAAAAAATCTTGCCTAACCCTT